ATGTTAATAAAATACTGTACTTTTACATGTGCGAATTAATTTGGTCGATCGTCCCGTTCAGATTGTATTAAGTTTTATCAAAATCGAAGCATGATATATTTTTAAATAAACCATCAAAAAAATTCTGTAAAAGTTATTTACATAGCGAGACTAATATTTTATTCGGTGCTGCTGCCTTCAGTACTTATTGCATGACGGTTAAATCGTGCAGATTTAATGACATAACAACATTTAAAAAAATAATAAGATGAGAAATTGTATGAAAAATTATGAAAACAATGTTTATCAGGGATGACATATGTACGCCTTTAAATGGCCATTTAATCGTACTATTCTATACTTGTACTCGTTATTTCTCTATTATTGTTGCTTTTTTATAAAAAATGTGTAATACAATTTTAAAATGTAAACATTGTTCTTTATTGTATATATGTACAATTATTGCACAATATAATTATCTTAACTCCTCTGCAGCAGTTTTACATGGTGTGTATGTGAAACTGCTCCATTTAATAACGTACATATGGCCCTTGGTAGAATTAAATAACCTATCTAGGAAACAGAATCTGCGCGTAATCTGCTGTCAGTCTGTCGTCAGAGTCTGTCGACAGGTTCTGCGCGCAGTCTGTCACCAATCTGTCGTTAGAGACTGCTAAAACAGTTTCTGTGTGCAGTCCGTTGCCATTCTGTCAACAGACTGTTGACAGACTCTGCGTAAAATCTGCTCGCACAAGTTTGGCTATCTGGGGCTATCTGGGAATGCATTATCCAAAGTTGATTGCAAAAATACAATTAATGTTCAATCAAATTTTGGAAAGGATCTATACTAAGGAAGAGTACAATCTTAAAAGTAAAAAAATTTACGCAGGAAGTAAAGAACCCACAAATACACCTGCTGTATTTCCCTTAAAAACACTTACAAAGGATAACTTTATACCAATGTGGTTTTCATGGAAGAATGACTTCCTCACAAATATGAAGTTGATTGACCAAGCAGAAAATAATAAAGAAAAGTGGGGTATCATGCTCTTGAATCGTTTGGGACCTGTTGGACAAGACATATACAGAACTTTTACATTTGATGATAGTCAAGCAAATGATGATATAAATGTATTATTTGAGAAATTTGATTATTATTGCATATTTGGATGCAAAAAAAGAATACATAATGAAGATATTGATACATATGTAAATAACTTGAAGGTATATTTAATATAACTATGTTTCTTCTATACTTGTAGACAAATTATAAATTTTTTTTATCTTAATTCTAATCCTGTTCATATCAAATTATAAAATAGATTTATATAATGAGATGCTAACAAATATAATAAGAAGGATATATAATTTTTTAATTTCTCATTCTAGTTTTAAAAGACTATTTGTAGAATTGATATGAAATTTGTGTAAGATTCACTGAAGTTATGTGTATGTAGTAATAAATACAATATAAAGTAGCTACAATTAAATTTTTTAGAAATGTTTATTCCAGATAATATTTGTTTTTATGCCAGAATATGGAAAGAATATTAATATATTTTTCATTTCTTCCTATGTTGAATCATATATAATGCAATATTTTTTTCTTCTAGGTAATAGCATCGAAATTTACGACTAATGTAGATGAGATAGTAAAGAAGAAAATTCTGGAAGAAATAGATGTTGAAAAATTTACAAACATTGCTAAAATCTTAATTCCAGGATTCTCATTTTCATCAAGCACAATGTCTTTAACTATACAAGAAATAACACGTATTTGGATGAGGTATGAAAATAAGTTTATAAATAAGTATGAAAGGTATGAAATAAGTTTTATGAAAGATATGAAATAAGTTTTAAAAAAGATGAAAAAATTGTTAATTACACAGTTAAAAACTGTAGCAAGTGTAGTTTAGACCATGAAATAAATTGCTGCAATAAATTTGTCCATACATACCCAGATAGAAATGCGTGATGATCATCACAATGTGACTTCATACTATGACTTCAATTTGATACTTTTTCAGAGATCATTACGTGATCTCATGATATGAGCACCAGATACACACAAATGATGTACAAATTATGTTGCAAATTCTTGACATGATGTTGATTATTATTATTAAATAAGGTATTTTTGTGACATCATAACATGTCTACATTCTGAGGCGCATATGAGCCCGCATCGGTGTCTATTCTTGTCCTCATGCCTTGAAGATACATGAATACAATATGAGCTTAGAATGAACACATTTTCCTATCTGGGTAATTATATATAATTATATATAATTATATAAAATTATATATAATTATACACAGTTATATATAATTATATGTATAATTACATATAATTGTATGCATAATTATGCAAAATTATATATGAAATTATAGATATAATTATACATGATTATATATAAGTAATATGTATTAACATGTATGGGCAAATTTCATACATAATTATATATAATAATGTAAAATTACATATAATTTTATATGATTCTACATAATTATATATGAAAAATTTTTTATTCGGTGGAATTCCAAAGATCTTAAACTGCAATGATTGTAGTTTAACGCATATCGCGTGCTCTGCAATAAATACTATATGTGTAAACTGCGACAAAATAGGTCACGTTCCAGAAAAATGTTGGAAGAATAAACGTACATTTTAATTAGGAGCATTACTTTTACTTTTTGTTTTGTAATATGCTCATTTTCTTATTTTAATGTTTGATATTAAAAATACTATAGAGTGAAGCACATAATTGAAATTATTTCATAAGGGATCACTTTGTTTTGAAACCATAATTAAAACAATGTATTGTTATATTCAAAATCTAATAAATTAAATAGGAATTGTTTGAAGATCATATAGTTTAACATGATTGAATTTGTTTTAATATTATCTACAACTTTTTTTATAGAATAATAATGATTTTCATTTAAAAAACAGAAGACAATCTTGAAATTTCAAAAATTACTGGCAACAAAAGTAAATATGTTGCATAGGCCTGTTCAAATCATATAATATTTATTTGAATTAATTTTTGCTAACACCAATATTTATGGCATTATCGAATGCCCATGCGCTTCACTCGTAAATCTTTCTTTCATGGTTTTTCTACAGGTTATTTCTTTCTTTTATTGGATTCTTTTTTTACATTCTTATTTTATAAAAATAAATTATCTCATTTACTAATTATTAATTTTTAAATTTTTTGTTTTTTTAAATTTTACTTTTAACTATATATTTACAAAAAATTCTCACTTCTTTGCATTTAATCATCATCTGTCTATTCTTCTTACATCCACTTTCACTTATTCTCTTTATATTGTATTTTAACTATTTATATATTATGTGTGACATATTTTTCTATAAATTGTATACTATTTTGTTAATTCTAAATGTAGTTGTATACCAAAGCAAAGTTTTTTTTTTTTTTATTAATTTTTTATTAATATAAGTCATATTAATAAATCATGTACCTCATCTGCTCCAATTTTAGCCATTAAGAATTGTAACAAGAGTAATAGATACATTAATATGTATACACACATGCAAGTACACACACATACACACACACTCATATATATATATATATATATATATATATATATATATATATATATATATATATATATATATATA